GAAATAATGATAGCCTCAGGAGCCAATGGGACTATAACTAAAAAACCTAACGTTTATGTCAAGAATCCTGGAAGAAAGGAGATAAAGGACAGAGTTGAAAAATTGTTCAAATAAATTTGGCAAAAGGCATAAACCTACAGAAACAAAAAGCTGAGAGAATCCCAAATAAGATAAATCCAGATATATCCATTTCAAAACTCACTATAGTAAAACCTCTGAAAATTAAAGACAGAAAAATCTTAAAAAGCAGCAAGAAAGGCCTTATTTATATGGGAGACATTTTTTTGACTGACAGCAGATATCTCATCAGAAATCATGGAGGCCAAAAGGATGTGGCACAACATATGTCTTTTTTGTTGTTGCTGTTTTGTTTTTTGTTTTTGTTTTGCCATAGGGGGTGTGTGCTTGCCAGAGAGAGTGAGAGAGAGAGTGAGAGAAAGAGAGAGGAGTGAGAGAAAGAGAAAGAAGTGAGAAAACACACCCCAGGGAGATGACCATGCTGCAATTCCTTCTCCTTCATTCTTCTCTCAGGATTCTGGACACACCCCCATATACATCCAGCGTGATTTTCAAGCTACTGGGTCCAGGACTTGAACACAGTTGGTCATGTGAGAACCCAGTGCCTTAACTACCATGCTTCTTGCTGGCCCCAACACATTGTTCTACCATGGAAAAAAAAAAAAAAAAACTGTCAACCCAGAAGTCCATCACCAGCAGAAGTATCCTTCAGGAATGGAGGGGAAATCAAGACATTCTCAGGTGAAAAACTAAAAGAATTTGTCACCACTACCTTAAAAGAATAAATTTAGAATGTATCTGAAGAGAAAGGGAATTATAAAAGAATTTTAGAATATTGGGAAGAAGAAAGAATATGGGGGCGCAAACATATAGGTAAATATGATATTAATAGATGAATAGGCCATGGCTAAAGGGTATATTTTCTTTTTGAGATAATGAAAATATCCAGAATTAACTTTGGTGATAGTTACACATATCTGTGAATACATTAAAAGCTATTAAAGTATTGGGTTGTCAGAAAAGTCATGACACATTTTTGCTTAAAAAATATAGAAAAATACATCATGAGTTTTCTGACAACCCAATATATACTTTAAATGGGGACTTGTATGACATGTTAATTATATCTCAATAAAGCTATTTGTAGACATCAAAGAGTGGTTGCTTGACTAAAGGGGCCCAAAAGAACTTTCGGGACTTCCTGTGAAAGTTCTATCCCTTAATCTTTGTGTAACACAGATTTATGTATATACTAGTCAAAATTAATCAAGGTAAATATTTATAATTTTTATACTTAATCTTATGAAAATTATACCTGGATAATATATGTTAGCATAAAAAAATACTAGACAGTCTCAAATTTCCTTCCAAAATGGTTTTTAGCAATTTATACTGACATCAACAGTGAATTAAAATTCAGATGATTACATCTTGTCAACTGTAAAACTGCTAGTTTGATAGTCTAAATATAAGATCTCTTTGCAGTTTTAGTGACCAATCTTTTATTGTAAGGAAGTTGGTTATATTTTCCATTGTTTTTTGAATATTCATGTTTCAAAAAATAAGTCTTTTCATATGATTTACCCAGTGTTTTAGGGGCGTGTTTAACATTTTCTTATTTCTTTCTTATCTCTTACATGTCTTATAAAGATCTGCTTTAGAACTGAGTTTTGTCCTGTCTTACAATGTGTTTACCTAATCTAGATACTTATGACATAATCAAAAATGAAAAATATTTAATTATAGAGTTTGTGTTTTTTTTTCTTTGTTTTCAGTTTTGCTATATGGCATGTGTACTTGCCAGAGACAGAAAGAGAAAAAGAGAGAGAGAGAGAGAGATTTGAGAGAGAGAGAGAGAGAGGTGAAAGTGAGAGCTAACCCCCCAGGGAGTACTACCATGCCACAATACGTCTCCTCCTCCATTCTCATCTCAGGATCTTAGGCTCACACATATACCACCCCATGTGATTTTCAAGCTACAGAGTCCAGAACTCAAACTGGCAGTCAGCCCTGTGGGATCCAGCACCTTAATCTCCACACCACCTACTGGCCCATCTTTAAGTAATTTTCTGACATATAAGGTTAAGTTTTTCACCTATGTTGTCTTTAGTACTCTTAGAAGTGTGTGTGTGTGTGTGTGTGTGTGTGTGTGTGTGTGTGTGTGTTGTGAGATAGAAATCTAATTATATTTCTTTATTGTTTTAAGAGATAGTTTTGCTATAGAAAACATGTGCTTGCTGGAGAGACAGACAGACAGAAAGAGAGAAATCACCCCTTAAGTGGGATAGCCACTCCACAATCCCTTCTCCTCCATTCTCTTCTTGGGATATTGGGCACAAATGCACACGTGCCCGGCGTGAGGTTAAGTCGCCAGGTCCAGGACTTGAACCATGGTCTACTACATGGGAGTCCAGCAATGTAACCATTACGCTATCTGCTGGTCGTGAAATCTAATTATATTTCAACATTTTCAATATAGGTAACCTATTTTGTTTATATCATTTATACATGGGTTATTTCTGGATTTTTTCCCATATCATTAATCATTTTTCTCTATATCATTTATATATCTTACTATTTATTGTTTTATAATAAATCTTCACAGATAGAAGGGCAAAACAATAATCCCTATTTATTTAGATTTCTAGTAAACTCTTTGGTAAAATCATGGTATTTATTACTGAAAATATAAAAAGGTTAGAGTTATTTTCACACTTCTCAGATTTTTTTATTATGTCAAATTAGTCACAAGCAAATTGAAACATGCATCTTTTTATTTTTCAAATCAATGTCTTTCAGGTGAGAATTATTTTTTATTTGTTCTCAACAACATATTCTTTTCCACTTTTGTTCTCCATTCATCTAAACAACAGTGACTGGGGCCAGCAGATAGCATAGCAATTATATCACTGGACTCCCACATGGACAACCACGGTTCAAGTCTCAGACCTGGTAGCTTAAAAATCTCTCTGTGCATGTATGCATGCATGCCCAAGATCCCAAGGGGAGAATGGAGGATAAGGGATTGAGGTATGGCCATCCACCTGTAAGTGAAAAATCAGGGGTGATTTCTCACTTTCCTTCTCACCATCTCTGTCTCTCTCTCCAGCAAATGCACATGCCCTAAAGCAAAAACATCTTTAAAACTAGTGACTATAAAAATATATTGGGAACCAGCAGTTAGCGTAATGGCTATGTCGCTGGACTCCCACGTAGTCGACCGCGGTTCGTGTCCCGGACCCGGTGGCTTAAAACTCACACCGGGCGCGTGTGCGTGCATGCCCAAGATCCCGAGAGGAGAATGGAGGAGAAGGGATTGCGGCGTGACCATCCCCCCTGTGGGGTGATTTCTCGCTTTCTGTCTCTATGTCTCTCTCTGTCTGTCTGGCGAACGCACGCAAAAAGTAAAAAACCTCCAAAAAAAAAAAAAAAAAAAAAGACAAAAAAAAAATATATTGATAATATACACTTTAAGAATTTAATATTAATTTTAATTTTGCATATCAGTTTCTATTTTTTTTTAACTTGACTCTTTGGTTGATAATATGAAGTCAGAGGGGTTTAGGAAAACAATAATTTCTAGTATCTTTTATGATATTTTTAGATGTCTCTCATGTCTAGGATTCATCGTTTTTGACATATAGCCTCTGCTTTCTAGCCATTAATTTGGTATCAAGTTGTTGGAGGAATGAAACAGGGAAGAATTCCAAGCCAGGTTTAAACAGGAGTGAGTGCTTTTTTTCTTTGAATATATTAACATATTTAAACATCTTTGAATGAAGTGAGAGGAAATTATCTATAATTATCTATGAATAATTTGTATTTATCTACTGAATTGTGAAGTACTTGTTCTTTGAAAAACTGAGTAAACTATGAAAATATGAATATAGTATTACTTTAAAAAATTACCCCATAAAATACTGCAAGCAAGGACCAACCATGGTGATGCACAAGTAGCACCATCACTTGGAAGGGTAAAAAGTACATGGGAGACCCAGGTCTGATTCCCAGGCCAATCTGAACATGCTAGGTATAGTTAGACATGCTATTGTAGAGTGCAACCGAATAAATGACCACTAAAGCCAGATTAAGGTTAAAGGGACTCTTCTAGGGGACCAGCAGTTAGCGTAATGGCTATGTCGCTGGACTCCCATGTAGTAGACCACTGTTCGCGTCCCAGACCCAGTGGCTTAAAACTCACGCCAGTGCGTGTGCGTGCCCAAGATCCCGAGAGAACGGAGAAGGGATTGTGGCATGGCCATCCCCCCTGAGGGGTGATTTCTCGCTTTCTGTCTCTGTCTCTGTCTGGCAAGCACATGCACCCTATAGCAAAAACCTCTCCAAAAAAAAAGAAGAAGGTAGCAAAAAAAAAAAAAAAAAAGAGTCTTCTCTCAGCTGGCCAGTGACTACAGCCTGAGGCTCAGGGGCCAAGAGTCAGAACTGCAGCCCCAGCCAAAGTTTGGGGTAGCTTCTTATAGGGGTTGGTTGCCAGGTGTACAGGATTCCCATGCGAAAGCAACCACAGAAGCTGAATCAAGCAGGTTAATTATTTCTGAGGGGAGTGGGGTTTCCATGCAACCAGTTACATTGCTAAATAAAGGGGTTTCGGGCTAGTTAGCAAAGACATTAGCAAATACAGGCTGTCATCCCAGACATGGTTTTAGCACTAGCCGCTTTCTCATGAGAAGAGCAAGCAGGAATACAGAAGCAGAAAGCCATGTTACGGGAAGGGTACAAAATGGATGAACATTTGCTCATGTGCAAAATCTATTTGCAGGCTTCCACAATGCCTCTAGTCCTAGTTTATTGGGAAGCTGTGGAAGGAAGATCTTGGCATAGTGAGACCCTGTTGAAAATACCTATCTCTGTCTCTTT